GCTGTCCCCCCTTTTCCTCACTGCTTCACTATTTAAAAACAGGAAAAGTAAGGATTTCCCTGCAGGCTAGGCATGCAGTTTTTGGGGATGAGATGAGTGAAGATAGAGAAAAGCAAAGATGCAGGAAAAAAAGGAGCGCTCAAAGAACAGAGAAGAAAAAGAGGGGAAAGTTAGAAAGAAATCTTTGAATTGACCAATGTAGATTGCTGTGAGGACACTTAAGATAGGAAAGACAGTCAAGGAGAGAGAACTATTTCTACTGTGTGTGTCTGGTGTGTGTTTGATGACTGAAAGACAGACACAATCCTTGGCAGACCATCTCTGCTTCTTCAGCAAAGTCCATTCTGTTGGAGCTGTCAAAACACACACACACACACACACACACACAAACTTTAAGAATAGCAGTGTGTAATGGCCGTGAAAATAACACTAGCTATTGCCCAGTTGTCATCTGACTCGAGGCATCGGGCAGCTGGAGGGTTCAGGGTGACTTTGATGGTTGAAATTCTTAATAAGTGAAATTAATCCCGCTCTTTATTAAGGTCACTCCATAATTGGCGTTGAATGTCTGTGGGATTACGAGCACAAATCCTCGTCTGTATAAACACACGCACAGCCACATGCTCTTGCGTTGCAGGATATGATTCGCAAACTCTGTTATCTGTCGACTAATGCTGCGATTTTCCCGGGGATACATTCTGATGGGACAGAGTGACTGCTGTCCGCACAAGCGCGAATTTGTTTTAGCTGTAAGAGGCTTTTCCACACTGCCAACAATAGAAATCCAAGGGAAACTCAGCAGAGTTGTAATTAAAACAAAAACAAAAACAAGTAGATGTCAGTAGAAGCTTTAAAAATGTCTCCTTCAGTTAAACCCAAGCTTGATTCAGTCTTTGCCCTCAACTCACCAGGAGTCCTGGACAAGTGGTACCACTTACCGTATGCAGGATTTGCCAAAGTGTTTGCTTGCAGTCCTACAAAACCCAAGTAGTAGCTTAACAGGGATGTTCTTAGGTTGAATGCTGATTGGTTAAAAAACTGGCATGAACGGGAAAGGAACTGACATTGGAGTTCAACACAAAGAGGCAAAAGGGTGAAAAGACAACAATGGCTGCTGTGGATGATTTTTATTGATTTGAACACACTTCGCTCTTTATAGGTTATAACTTTTCTCTGTAACTGGAGGAAGGACAAACAATGGCTCACGCAAGAAGAGCCCACACACCACTTGTTTTCATATTTCTGTGACCTGCGTGAAACATCTGCAATCAGCTGTGTATAGGCTCTGTGAAGATGTCCTGGGGGACAAAAAAATTCAAAAAGATAGTCTGCATTACAAAGGAAATGAATAAAGGGACTAGAAGATGCTATAAAGTGTGCGTTTTTAGAGCTTTGCAGATGACTAAAAGCATTTTCACACCTGACTGGTTTGTTTGGACAGGTGAGATAGCTACCAATTGGAACCTGGTGAGAAACAACTGGACTGAGACTATATTTCCAAATGTCATTTTGTTTACTGTGGTGCAGTCTAAAAGCAAAAAGAAAACCACGATGTTATGTGATAGCAGATGTGTGATTTTAGCATGAGTGGAAAGCACAGGAAGAGCAGCGTGATCCGCTGTGAGTCATGAGGGTCCTGATGAGGCATCGAGGATGAAGGATTACATCAAGAAAGCTGCATTACTTAATAACTTTGTTTATAAAACATCAGTGGGAATATGATTCATATCTTTATATCTTTCCTTTGGTCTGGGTTAAATGAAGCACACTGCACCAATGAGGACATGAAAGTTGTGATGCAAGCTTGTTTTTTTGTCCTAGCTTGATGGGAGCTCTGCTGAGAGACAGGAAATGAGGGAGAAAGCTGAGGACTGACATGAAAATGTTCTCATAAACAGACAAAAAGAAACTTTTTTAATAAGAAAACTAAACTCTTTATAATCATAGCTCCAGGATTATTCATTTTTCTCTTTAGACGTCAGAGGATTATTTCAGAGAACTGAAGTTACGTCTTTATTAGCTGACTTGTCTGTCTCATTTACTGTGCTCATTTCCGTTTCTGTTTTCTTCTTGTGGGCCTTTGTGCAGGCCCTCAGTTCACTCATTGTCTGAACCAACTTCATATGATCTTCTCTGCTGGCTGAACTGTAGGTTGTGGGGCTGCGGTGGAAATGACCACGTTAGAGACAACCACCCCTTCTCGCTGATGTCACACAGATCCAAAAGTAGAAAAAACTTTCTGAAGCATGAGCTTTTGAATCATTGAGAGTACTTGTACATAGACTGACCTCATTATTTGAAGCTATCTTTAATATGAGCATGCAGAGCTATAGCAGTATATTTATGACAGAAACTAGGTCCCCTTTAATAACTTTACAGCCACTTGCTGATTAATCAGCTGCTTGGCTATCAGCTGAGTGTAATCTTTAAATACCCTCAGGCATGCAGTGCAGCCATTATAAGTGCGTGATACATTCCTCCTTCGACTCTTAACTCGATCCAAGACGAAGTGTTTCAAAAACTAAATGTGTGATTGCATAAACGGTTTCTTCAGTATCAGGGTGAATCTTTGAACTGCAAACAAATGCAGCTTCAGTGACTTCAATTTTATTTTAAAGAGAAAATGCAAACCCTAATTTCTAAATATTATAAAAAACGTGTCTGTATTTAGTTTGACTTTGTTGGTAATGTTCGCCTTTTTCTGCAGCATCACTCTGGATCTGTTTCTAAGTGTGTGTGTGTGTGTTTGTGTGTATTTAAACTCTCGGTTTAACTAACATCCTGCCTGAGGTATGACTCAAGGCAATTTCTCCTCATTTTAGCTCAAGCGATGCTCTACGTGTGTGTAAATACAATATCTCTGCTCTGCACATGCATCAGCAGTCTCCTTGTGTCCAAGCAGCACTTCCTATGTTTTGAAACACAGCATCATCACCAAATAGCCACACGGAGGCAGAGTCACGCAAAAGGTCAGCGTCAGCCTCCCACCTCGTGCCCGTTTGTCACCGGGCTCTGCCCTTCCCTGTAGCAGATGTGTTAAGCAGCACATGGCCTGGTGTGTGGGCTGAAGCTTAATTTGGGATTAACACTCAGGATATTACAGATTACCTCACTCTGCGTTTGACCTTCTGTGTTTAGTCAGCCAGCGTTGGATGGATGAGCTCTTATCTTTTAGTAGTTACAGCGACTCAATCTCGCCGCTGAGGCCGGAGCCTCTAATGAAAAGCTCCCAAACATGTTGTGTCACGCTGTCAGCATGAAAGCAAGGATTACACATCACAAGTCTTTTGACTAATTCACAGATATAGTGGGGGTTGAACATTTAAGAAGTAATCAGCTTCAATTCATAGATTTCCGGAAAGATGTTCGAGTCACAAAGCAAACAAATAATTTCAGTCGCACACGGCATTGGTTTTGATCGCAGATGTACTACAAGTGTCAAAATGCTCCAAGCGTTAGAGGATGTATCTAAGTCAGTTGTGTCAATATGACGCTTTCCTGTTTTTTTTAGGAATCCATTAGTGTTGGACCAAAAAGATTGTGCCTCTTTTCTTTATTCAGCTCTTACTTCAAAACGCTTTAGTGCTCTGTAACTGCAAACAGTAGTTATGACAGGCTGAAATATCTACTGAAATATAAAAAAATGACTTTTTTTGATTAGCGAGGTTTGTTTGTGTTACATCATTGTTTCCCATGTGCTTAAACACACACACACACACACACACACACACACACACACACACACACACACACACACACACACACACATACCCCTGCTGTCAACTGAGGACCAACTGCCAGCTGCCCCCATACTTCTCTGTCCTCATCTATATTTGATGCACCTCATTAAAAGTTGATTGTGGAAACACTTCAGCATTCCCGACATTCCTTTTGATCCACTATTTAGTCTCCCTCAGCACTTCGGACCGAAAAAGTCCCCTCAGTCATGCGTGAGTCAGTTAAAGGCAGGAAACAGAGCGCGTGAGGAGAGCTGAAGACATGCCAACTTATCTGTAGTGCGACAGCTGGTCCAATACAGCTCATAGTTGAGAGCAGGCTAAACAAATGTAGGGAGATTGTTCCTTGCCGACTGTCAGTCATGTTGCAAAAACCAGTGAATTTAAATTTCCAAAGCAATAAACGTTCAGAGGACGGAGAGGGAAAAACAGATATGGAATTTTTGGATGGATCTAGTAACTTGTGTTAGTATTTAGCCGTCTAATCCTACCCTGCACTTTGGGAGATCAGCACCAACCACTGCTAGCAAACAGTGCTTTCCAATATCAAACTAAAACAAATACCTTTGAGAGTTAAAGTAAATTTAATGGTAAGGTAAGTAAAGTGCACACATATCCACCGATTAATCAACAGACCAACAGCATACCAGGTGACATTTAACTTAATATGTGGGTCTGTGGGGATTAACTTGCTAGGAAGCAGTTTTGAGTGGCCACCCAAGGAGCTACAGCTTCTAGTCTACAACAAGATTAGTGTTTCGGGCTGATATACCACTAAGGCTTTACCTCAGTGAAATTTACTACACGTCTAAAACAAATCTTTTGACAAAAATACTAATAAAAAAATTAATAATCCTGCTCTCATAGATATGTTTTCCTTTAGTATTCCTCAAACAGCTGACCTTGAAGTTCTAACACTTTTCTACGCGTGTTAGAAGTGGTCACCTTTTGAAGTGACGTGCTGCTGCGAGGCCTCTCGTGCACGAATGCAAACACGCACACGGAATAAAGCATCTTAAACAGCTTGCCTCCCTCGCTTGAAAGATGCATGTTTTAACCCAACGCCGAGGTCCCATCAATCGTGTTGAAGGCCACAGTCACACACGCATATACGAGTACACACACTTCACTGTTTGACTGTTTCGCTGGGTAAATATTAAGACCTGCCTCTTAGGTAGCCGTGTGCATTAATATATGTCACCTGATGAGAGTGTATGTGTGTTCTCGGACGTTAGCGTGTTTAACATTGTGTTTGCTCTGCAGAGCCTCAGCTGAAGGGCATTGTCACGCGGCTCTACTGCAGACACGGCTTCTACCTCCAGATGCTGCCGGATGGCACCATGGAAGGCACAAAGGACGAAAGCAGCTCCTTCTGTAAGTAAAGGAGGACAGACTCTTAGATATTGTTGCTGTACAAGGGTTCTATGTCATGCCTGAGTCAGTACATGCACCTCTAGGAGTTTCCCCTGCTTCCATGTCAAAGTGTGTTTAAACGGGATCTTCCTGGTAAGACAGATTAACATCCTGAGAGCACGCAGAGGCACGACAACCCTGCCATGCTTTCTGGTTTGATTTGCACCAGGATCGATCAGGCTGAAAATGCATGCACACTTGGCGAGGTGGACTAGGGGAACGGCAGCCAAATGGGATTCATTCTCATTGCATAATATATCACAGAAGATCTCTGGCACTGATTAAGCTCTTCAAAGACATGCTTTTAATTGTTTTGCTTACAATCATTCTGACCTTCAGGTTGTAAGCCTTATGTGCCTATGAATAACTCATCTGTGAGTATACACACTGCAATGTAAGTGTGCATGTTGTGCTCTCAGTTTCAGGCACAACACCCTGAATTATTTAGGTACATGTCAGAGTGCAAGTTTCCAACAGAGTTCAATGAAACATTAAAGGGTCTTTAACCTGCTGGGTCCATGTGCTGTTGGAAGAATCCGTAGCAGCTAATATTCTGGTGTATTTATCACTAGTAAGTAGATGTCATGTGATGTCTCCTAAATGTTCTATCCAGGCAGTTCAATCACCACACAGACTTGATGTTACAGTGGTCACAGCTGTTCATTGGAACAACGTGTCAATGCTGCCGCCATATCGCTCAAGGGGAGACAGGCTGTCTAATGCATGCACGTCTGCAGAGGCTGATGTCTTTACACAATTAAAAATCCTCATTAATCACTGATTTTTCAAGTAGCTTTCAAGACAATTTTTTTGTTGTAAAAATGGTTTTTTAGCAACAACTCTTAAACCATTGGAAGTCATGTTTATTTCCTATTAAATGGTGACACTTGTGAGGAAAATACATTTGTTAGTTGAGCAGCAGAGTTGTTGGTTGAAAGATGTGGGTTGCACCTATTAAAAACTTCCCAAATCTTCTCTGCCAATGCCAAACGGCTTAATCTGCTACTCCCTCTTCTTTGGCGTCGTTCAGTTGATTGGATGGTTGAAGTATGAAGAAACAAGACATTTTGAAAATTTTGCAATAATTTTACAATATATTCCTTTAAAAAATTGGGGCCCTCTGTAGCATGTGGAAGAACTTCTGGTGATTTTCGTTGGTAAGTTAGCCATTGTTTGTTTCTGTCTATCTGCTGGTCTGACTTTTCTCAGCTTCAATCATGGTTTTTAAGAGAAACTTAACACCCTTTAAGGCACAAATACTGTAACTGAATTATCCTGTTAAATTAACACGCTCGATCTATGGAAAGGATATTTCCTACCTAACTCTAATGTTATAGTTTTATTGTTAGCAATAGCTGCTAACCGCTACCCAATGATAACTTAATAGATGGCTAATGTGGCTACTGGATAACTGCTAACAGTCTTTGCTGGCTGGGTTAATGATTATGATAACTGTTTAATGCTTCAGTGTTGTTGAAATGGGAGATTCTCTGACCTCTCGAAATTCCTCATGAAACAGCGTTCAGTGTTGTGAACACTGACTATTGTTCATGTGTTCAGCTGCTAGCGATTCAATTTCTAACTATAGTATTTCAAAACTACTTAATGGTATCAAATAACCACTCTGAAGATTTTATTGAAGACCTACAGTTCTTAACAGTCACACAAAAACCTGCTGTCCTTCTTTGGTTGCTGAGTTTGTGATTGTGCACACACACCTAACCCTGCGAGGGGCATCGCCTAGAACATTAATGACTCAAAACATCCTATCCCATGATTCCCTAGAGTCTCTGGATGGACTCCAACCTTTCCAAAGAGATCAATATTATATTACAGGAAATCCCTGATGTGGCAACACGGCAGCTTTTTTCTGTCAAAACACCAGTTTGGGTGGGAAATATGAGCTTAGCACAATTTTGGATTTACACTCTACACAGGGAGGGGAGAAAATCACACGTTGACACTCAGCTGTGGTTCCCCTGTACAAGATTATATTTCAGCATTCTATTAAGACGTCAGAATCCTTGTGGCTGCAGGATTGTTACTGGGTTGGAATAACCTGGATCTAACCTTGAGGTGTTCGTTGTGAGGTTTTCCCCTGGCATTTGTCCTGGAGACTAGCTTATGTAACTTGGCAGGATGATATTTGCTGATGGGAAACATAGCAGCGCATAAAGTGTTTATTTAGTGAAATAAACAATGAGTGAAATATTTCAAGACAACTCTCCAGAAGACTGATTCTCCAGATTCTCACATAACAATCCCCGGGACTGTTATCCCTGAAAGCTGGTTTGGCACCGAGGTTATGAATCCTCTAGCCCAAGGAGGTTGGTTAAACACCTCCATAAAGTGATTAGATCTGCACTCACCTCTCCCTCTTATGTAACTGCACACCTACGCTGAGGCAAATGTCGGCTGAACATTCTGTCTGAAGTGATCACATAATACCGCTGGGCACATCTGAAGGCGAACAGGGCTCATGCCCAGACAGATGTAAAGACGAGCATTGTGTAACAGCACCCCTAGCGTGCAGTGGCAATAAACTTCAGTCGGCGGAGGTCAGACCGCAACTTGTTTGCAGGGGTTAATTTTTATAACAACACTAATTCCATCAATGCCAGTATCTGGTGCATGGCTTCCCTGAGCTGTTACATTTTCAAAGGCGGCATGTGATAAACTCTGCAAAACCCAAACTGTGCACTTACAGATTATTTATTAATTCAAGCAAACAGTCTTCTAGAGATTGACATCAGTGAAATAGAGTATCAATCAGAGACACAATCATCCACCTGGCTGCACAGAACATTGAATGAGCAGAAATTGCTGTGTGAGCATCAACTCTTATAAACTGTATGAGTGTGTGTGCATGAGAATGTGTGGAAATTCAGACCATAAAATGCAATGTGACCGACAAACAGACACCTTTTGCTTTAACTCAGTTTCACTCTTGCATATAGAATTCACCTGTTTTTTTTTTTTGCTTTCTTTTTTTTTGGTGATACATTGGGCTGATCTGACCATCCAATGCAGAATCACGATACAGCCAGAGAGAATACTCTTGAAGTCGCGTTGATAGAATCTCCTCAAACCTCCTCAGCAGCCGCAGAAGGAAGAGTTATTGTCTCACTGCTTTTGTGACCAGCTCAGATCCTCACTGACGTTGAGCCCCGGAAACTTATTCTCTCCTCCTGTGGAGAGAGTAACCCAGCAGTGTAACCTGCTTGGTTACACACTGAGCCCAAAAGCCATTCGATTCTACCAACTCTGTTCAGTCTGTCCGTTGTTACTTTCTCTCTTGGTGCTGCTAAAAATGAATTAGCTGTGACACTGGGACTTTCTGTGTGCTTGGCCTTCTCAGATCCTGTTCTCACTCCCGAGGTATCAAATGGTAGAAGCTGTCAGAATCACAGAGATACACAGAAGGCATCCTTTAGTGTCAGTTCCATGAACCACTGGCTGTGGCAAGAGTAAGATAAATCTCAGCGTCCCAACTTGACACATACATTTTAAAAACAGCTGATATTTTTGTTTGTTTAGGAAAATTCCCAGTAGCTAACTGAAAACTAGGAAAGCATATGAGGAACTAACTTTCAGAATAAAACATGAAGTAAACACAAAGGACAATCCCCCCGTAGCAGGAGGAGGCAGAGGACAGAAACAGGTATTATTCCCAGTCTTTTTACTTTACATCTATCAACAGATACCCCTTATCCCAAACTCTACACAGGTTACAGGTGATCTATCTTAAGAAGTAAATGTATTTGGACTTTGGAAATAGACTAATCACTGCCTAACATTTAAAGAAAAAAAAAAATCCTTATTGATCATGGGGACAAAAGCAAACCTTAACCCAGGTTTAGGGGCAAGATTAGGGTGAATTGTTGGAAGTTAAAGTATTTGTAATTTTTTTCTTATATCTGAAACAGATCAACCCTTATATGTAACAATAGCCACCTTCTACCACTCATCAGCCTCATTTTCAGCAGTGATTATGCACCCCACTGAAGTGTATAACACAAAAGTGTGTAACACCAAAAAAGGCCAAATCAGCATCAAATGGGATAAATAATTAAGGGAGGAACAGGGAAGTTCATATCTGAGGCGCTGGCCCATGCAGCCAGCTGTGATACTCATCGGCTGATCTCCAGGATGAAACTTTCGCCTGTGACCTGCTGCAGTGAACGACCTCCAAGGGGCAGGAGGGAGCCCGGTCCATTGGCTCCCTCTTGTCATCTCTCTACCTGGGGTACCAGGCTTTACAGCAGCTACCTTAACCTCCTGTTTCTCCTGGACCCAAATGTGTCAGGAAGGCAGGACACTGAAAGGAAAGCCAAATGGAGGGAAAGAAAAAGCTGGGAAGAGGTACAGAAGCCCTGAGGGGATGTAATAGAACAAAAAGTGACAAGAGTGGCTTTTGTATGGCCTTGGAATACTTTTATCACTTTTTCAAAGCAAGCGGCTTCAGGGATTTCTTAACTAGGTGACAGAGGAAGCTGTCACCAAAGCACACTATATTTTTGCAAGTGAGAGATTGGTGGAAACAAAGAGGATCACAGAGGAGTGGAGAATGGGAAGACGGGCCAGAGCAAACTGAGCCAGTGAGACAAGATGGGCTGGCAGAGAAAGAGAGTAAGTGAGACGGAAGGAGGGGGGGGAGACGTGAGGATGACGGTGAAAAAGGCAGAGGGACAGGAGGGAGTGATGGGGAGCACGAGGAGCAGCTGGCATACAGCTGATGGCTCCTCAATCACTGTGTCTCCCCCCTTTGGTGGGAGGTCAGAGGAGCTGCCCCCCTCTGCTCCTCCTCTCCTCTCTCCTTGCCTGTTCTTGGCTCTTCCAGGCTGTTATATAATAAAGCTGGGAGAGGAAAGAGGGGAGGGAAGAGGAGCAACTTTAAGATTTACTTATCTTTTCAATGGAAATGAAGTTGCTGTACTGTGTGTTGCTCTGACATGTTTTAG